TCTTGACCCCACATTTCTCCTCATAGAGCCCAGCCTGCCGGATAATATGTTCTGCATATAGGTTGAAAAGGTATGGAGATAGGATGCATCCCTGGCGTGAGCCCTATGAGATGATTTTTTCAGATCCTATGCCATGATTTCCACGCTGACTTCAACACAAATAATTAATCCCTTTTCCTTTCTACCCAGCAATATTTTTCTTCTTTCTGACCATTTCCTGGAATTCTCTCCCACTGCAAATGATCACAACAGATAGAGTGATCTCATTGTTCCTTTACCTGTTGGCCTTTGTTAAAAATCACTCCATCAATGCCAATTTGTGTACATTTTACTTAATATTGTAATCGTATCCATAACTAGCACCCCCAGTCACTTTTCCTACTATACATTTCTAGTTACTTCTTACATCATTTAAGATACTGACTCTTTAGCGTATCTACTTGTTTACTGGCTAGGTTCTCTTAAATATGTAAGTTCCATGAGGGTAAGAATTTTTTTTCCTCTTCTTGTGCTCACTGCTATACTCCAGAGCTTAACAAAGTACCAGCACATTGTTGCTGCTGTTGTTGTGTAACATCAAGTCAGAACCCACTCATAGCAGAACCTCCAGTGGATTTTTCAGACATAGTAATTGCACAGAAGGAGGCTGCCCATCCTTCTCCCGGAGAGTGGCTGGCAGATTCAAATTGCGTTCCTTTGGGATTACACATTTTTGCCACTAGGCCACCAAAGCTCTTGTTGTTAGGTGCCATCAGTCGAGTATGACTCATAGTGACCCTATGAACAATCTATCTGAAACCTGTCACATCCTGTACCATCGTCACAATCTCTGACATACTTGAGCCTACTGCTGCAGTCACAGTGTCAATCCATCTCTTTGAGGATCTTAGCACAAAGGAGATAATATTATCTATATTTTTTGCTGTTGTTTCTTGTTGTGCACTGTCAAGTCAACTCTGACTGGCACAGGAGGAAATTGCTCATATTTCTCCAGCGGAGCATCAGGTGGATTCGAACCACACACCTTCAGGATTGAACCACAGCTTCTTGCCACTAGGCCACCAGAAATTCCTGAATATGATCTATTAATTGAATAACTGTGGAGTTGTTATTGTTATGTGCCGTCGAGTTGTTTGCGACTCATAGCGACCCTATGTACAACAGCCCTAAACCCTGTTCTATCCTGTGCCAATCTCATTGCCTCTGACACACCCATCCCGATTACCCCAGCCACTGAATCAATCCACCTCATAGAGGGTCTTCCCCTCCTGCGCTGTCCCTCCACTCTACCCAGCATGATGTCCCTCTCTAAAGACCTGTCTCTCCTTACAACATGTCCAAAGTATGTCAGACGAAGCCCCAGAATCCTTGCCTTCAAGGAGCAGCCTGGTTTAATCCTCTCTACGATGAATCTGTTTGTTTTCTTGGCAGTCTATGGTACATTCAGTACTCTTCTCCAGCATCACAGCTCAAAGGCGTTAATTCTCCTTCTATCCTCCCTAGTTATTGTCCAACTCTCTGATGCATAACAAGTGATTGCAAAAACTATGGCCTGTATCAGGCGGACCTTAGTCTCCAGAGAGACACTGCTGCTCTTGAGTATTTTGGAGAGGTCCCTGACTTTCCCATTGCAATACGTTTTTTTATTTCCTGGCTACTGGTGCCAAGAGTGTTGACCATGGAGCCGAGCAAACTGAAGCTGTGAACAATCTCAATCTCTTCGCCATCCATCCTGATGCTACCGATTGGTCCAGTGGTGAAAATCTTTGTCTTCTTAAAATTGAGCCTCAGTCCATATTGAAGGCTGCAGTCCTTGACCTTCTGCAGCAAGAGCTTCAGATTCTCCTCAGTTTCAGCAAGCAGGGTTGTGTCATCTGCACAACAACAAAGATTTTTCATGAGTCTATCTCCAAACCTGATGCCACATTTCTCCTCATAGAGCCCCGCCTCTCGGATAATCTGCTCTGCATACAGGTTGAAAAGGTATGGAGATAGGACACATCCCTGACGTACACCCTTCCCAATTTTGAAGCATGCAGTGTTGCCCTGCTCTGTTCTGACGACTGCCTCTTGGTCCAAGTATAGGTTTCGCATTAGCACGATTAAATGATCTAGGATTCCCATTCTTCTCAGAGTCAGCCACAGTTTGTTATGATCCACGCAGTCAAATGCCTTTGCATAATCAATGAAACACAGATAGACATTCTTCTGGTATTCTCTGCTTTCAGCTAAGATTCATCTAACATCAGCTACAATATCCCTAGTACCACGACCCCTTCTAAACCCAGCCTGGACTTCTGGCAGGTCTCTGCTGATGTACTGTTGCAGTTGGTTTTGGATAATCTTCAGTAGAATCTTGCTTGCATGTGAAATCAATGATACTGTTCTGTAGTTTCCATACTCAGTTGGGTCTCCCATCTTTGGGATGGGAACAAATATAGACCTCTTCCAGTCAGTTGGCCAAGTGGTCGTTCTCCAGATTTCTTGGCACAACTTGGTGAGCACATCCACGGCAGCATCTGTTAGCTGAAATATGTCAACTGGTATACCATCTATTCCGAGGGCCTTATTTTTTGCTCTTTCCTTTAAAGCAACTTGAACTTCTGCCTTCATCACCACAGGCTCTGGCTCAAACGCTATTTCATTAAATTCTTCTGTATCTGCCAATTCCTTTCGATGCAATGACTCAGTATATTCCTTCCATCTTCTTTTGATACCTCCTGGATCATTTAACATTCTGCCTAAAGCATCCTTGAATTTGTTTTTCAGGTTGCAAATAGTTTAGGGTCCTTAAAAAATTAATTTTATGTATTGAGATAAAAGGAATGACATGAGAGAAGGGGCAAGACAATGTAAGACTTTTGGTACAAAATTAAGCAGCTTGGATTTAATTTCCTGATCAGTGGTGAATGGTAGAAGGATGCCTGGGTCAGGGCTATACTTTTTCAAAGAATCCTTTGGCTATTAACTAAGATGTTACTGCAATAACTGAGAGGGTACCCAGAACTACAATAATGATCAGTAGGGACAAGTAGAGGAGAGAATCAGCACCTTAAAACATAATTATAGATGATTCTTAAATTTCTAGCTTGGCATGAGGGGTAGATGATGATATTGCTTACCAGACAGACAATGCTGGAGGAAAGCAGGTGTCAACAATGTATGGTGACGCACTGAGGTCGCAGTAGGACATTATTAGTTTCAGTCGTCTTTGGCACATCCAATGACATTTACCTGTTGTTGTTATTAGCTGCCATCAATCACCTCTGACATATGGCTACCCATGTAAAGCAGAATTAAATGCTTAAGCATCAAGGACTCTCCTTCATAGGGTCGCTAAGAGTCACCTATGACTTGAGGGCACTTAACAACAACAACAAACAGTGTTGTACCACTGCCAGAATTGGTTGCAGATAAGACCCTATAACTCACAAGATTTTCAGTGGGTGATTTTTTGGAAATATACAGTAAATGTGTTCTTCCTACTTCACCTTAGTCTGAAAGGTTCACCGAAACCTGTTCATCATCATAGGCACACTCATGTTTCCACTGCCTGAAAGGTAGTGGCTGTGTAAGAGACACAATGATCAGAAACAGAATATGGATTGCTGGCACTCAAGGTGAGAATGAACCACCACTATCATCTTGTTTTCTTATTCATCCCCTGCTGTTGAGTTGATTCTGACACATATTGACCTGGGAGGAAAGAGTAGACCTGCCCAAGAGGATTTCTCAGGCTGTAAATCTTTACAGGAAAAGACAATCTAACCCTCCTTCAAAGAACAGTTGGTATGATCACTGCCAACTTTTCAGTCAGCAGGCCAGTATTTATGCTACTCTATCACCAGGACTTCTTGGTTTATTTCAAACCAAGAAAAACCCAAATGCAATGTTGTTGACTTGGTTTTGACTCATTCACCTATCCATCAGGTTTCTGAGGCTGTAAATCTTTTACAGATGAAGGCTTCCTTTCTTTTTCTCAGAGGGGCTGGTATAATAAAATCACCAATATTTCAATTAGTAGGCCAAGACAGCATCCACTACATGACCAGGGCTCCAAACATTTATCCCAAGTATTATAACATTTGGAAGTAATCAATATATGAGGATTTATAAAACAGTATGACAAGATTGTGTCGTACACATTACTGGATAAGATTAGAATAGTGGAAGACTTTTAATACAGATGTAGTGGTATGAGTAATAAGTGAATAAAGAGTCAAAAGGAACATCAAGAATTTGGAGAAAGAAATGACTAAATAATATTTAGAACACATACTCACACTGAGAGGTTGTTTTAAAAGAGGGTACAGTTGTGTATATTTGTAATGAAATTACACATTCTATGAAAAATTATTTCTGCAATGAATATATTTTAATGTATAAAATTGCTTAAACTGTACCTTTATATTCCACCAAAGGAAAGTAGCATTCAGATGGAGTTTCAGAAAGATGAAACACAAATTTTTCAAGTAATTCTACCAGAGCTGTAACAAAAAGAGTAAAGATACTGAAGATTATTAATAATACGTAATATTACATTTAGACCTTGCAGACAAGACGATAGAAGTTATCAGAACCTCTTAAACAGTTACACTCTAAGGGGGTTTATCTCAAAACACAGCATTTTGCTATTCGTAACAATATTTCAGAATTAAATTAAAATTTAATAGCTTCACTGAGAATCTATTCAATGTAAAACTGGAAAAGAATCATCTGTTATCTTTATATTCTCCAAGGATTATTTCAAACTTTGCTAAATGATTTAATTTTTAAAAAATTATCCAAATATAAAGAAAATTGTCCAAAAAAGAAAAAGGAAATTGATTAAGGTATAATATCTTCCTATATAATTTTTAAAACCAACACATAATAGTGTGTTTTGCATACCTTCAACTGACCATATCAAATACAAATTTGCCCCATCAGGTTTAAAGTGACAAGATTATTCTTCAATAGGTTAGTTTAAGAATGTTCTATAGATAACATCACTATCTGCTTCTCGGTGGTGGTGGTATGATGTGCCATTGAGTCGCCTGAGACTCATAGTGACTCTATGTACAATAGCCCTAAACTCTGCTCTATCCTGTTCCAATCTTACTGTCTCCGACACACCTAACCTCATTACCCCTGTAACTGAATCAATCCATCTCATTGAGGGTCTTCCTCTCCTACACTGTCCCTCCATGCTCCCAAGCATGACATCCCTCTCCAAGGACTGATTCTGCCTTGCAACATGTCCAAAGTATGTCAGATGAGGATTCAGAATCCTTGCCTCCAAGGAATAGCCTGGCTTCATCTTCTCCAGGACAAAATTCTTTGTTATCCTAGCAGTCAATGGTATATTCAGTACTTCTTTAGCACCACAGCTCAAAGGCATCAACTCTCCTTCTATCATCCCTAGTCATTATCCAGTTCTCTGATGCACAGCAGGTAATTACAAAGACCATGGCCTGTATCAGGCGCACCTTAGTCTCCAGACTGACATTGATGCTGTTCAGTATTTTGAAGAGGCCTCTGACAGCAGACTTTTCCAATGCAATTCGTCCTTTAATTTCCTGGTTGCTAGTACCAAGAGTGCTGACTGTAGAGCCAAGCAAACTGAAGCTGTCAACAATCTCAATCTCTTCACCAACTATCATGATGCTGCCAATTGGCTCAGAATCTTTGTTTTCTTGATGTTGAGCTTCAAATCATATTGAAGGCATGACCTTTTGCTGCATATACAAGTATATTTCATTTTACTGTACTCTGTATCGTGTTTTTCAGATATTGTTTTTTCCTTTAAAATTGAAGATTGGGGGCAACTCTGCAGCAAATCTATTGGCACTATTTTCTAAAAGTATATGCTCAATATTTATGTGGTACATTTTATTAATTCTCAAACTACAGAAAAATTATTTTCATAATGCTACTACACACTTATTATATTACAAGAATATAATTTACAGGCAATAGGAAACAAAGAACATCATATCATTTGCTCTACTGCAAGATCTGCTTTATTAGAGTGGAACAAAACGTGCAGCATCACTAAGGTGTGCTTATGACCTAAAAAATGTGTCTAATCAAATGGATTAATATGTAATAAACAATACTTAGTCCAAAAGTTAGGAAGCTCAATATTTATAAATATTTCTCCTGTATTCATCATGTTCCAAATCTTTTATTAATTCCAGCATATAAAATAATCACAAAAATTACAGTACCAGAGTTCAACTTTTTATGTCATCCTGTATGTTCCCTAAATATTGGCTGCTTCAAGAAATTATTTTCATCTGCTTACCCAAAGAAGAACTCCTCTAACAAGTTTCAAGTTCTTTGTAATCCCATCACATTCAACTATGTCCATTTTTTCCAACAGACTACTATAATAATCAAACATCTGATCTGTCAGGTCAAGGTTCTTGTCGCTGTTATGGACCACTGAGTTGGAATCGACACATAACTGAGCCTCCTCCAGGGTTCCAGAGATAGTAAATCGTCCAAGAGTAGAATGTCCATCCTTCTCCAGCAGAGCAGCTGGTGGATTCAAACTATGTGCCTTTGAGACTGCAGCATAGTTTCTTACCACTATTCTCTATCCCCCTTAATTACAGATTCAGAAAAGTTGCAAAGATAGCAAGGAGGTAGAGAGCTTCTTTTACTCATCCTTTTAGGACACATCTGGTTCAGTGGTAAGATTACTGTCTCCCATGAAGGAGACCTGAACAATGCACTTCGTGTGCAGCCCCTACTTGTCCATCAGTGGGGTTAAAATGTTGCTGTGATATTCAACAGGTTTCAGCAGACCTTCAAGAAGACAAGCTAGAGTGAACAACATGGTCATCTATTTCCAATAATCAGTTAACATAAACTCCCTGGTTCAGAATATGAACCAGAATAGGATGGCACAGATGCAGATATATTTTGTCCTGTTGTGCATGGGGTCACTATGATGTGGGGACTTATTCAACAGTGGCTAACAGATGCTGACAGTAAACTCTCTTGGTATCATCTCCATTCTTGAAAAATACTATTGTTAATTTGCTGTTGGATATAGATTTCAGGCTATTGATGACAGAATTCCTTTCCTACAGCACTAGAGTCATCTTTTCATTTGTTTTTTGAATATACAATCTTTTTTTGTTGTTATTTTAACAAAAGTGTATAGAAAAGCTGGATTTTCATTAATTCATAGTTGCACATTTTCCTCCCTCCTTCCCCCTCAAGTTCACCTTTTAAAAAAATAACATTACTTCATTGTTGCATCATTTTCTCCCTCCCCCGCTCCCTTTTCCCAGTGCTTTGCTATACACTCTTAATCTGGACTGTTGTCATACAAATAATGCCTAATCAAATATTCCTTTTAAACACTTATGACTAGTGCTTTGTCACTTTCTTTAGTCCTCTGTCTCATTCGCATTGGTTTTGTCGACAGATAAAGCACCATTTGTTTCTTGCAGCTTTCAAGATTTTCTAACATTTTCTTTAGTTTTTCTAAGTTTGAGTGTCATACCCCTTCATGTGAATGTTTTGGGTTTATCATGTTTGGGGGTTTGTTCAAATCCAAGGGTCTGTCTTTGCTAAATTTAGGAAAATTTCAGCCATCGGATATTTTTTTCAGTCTAACTCTCTGTGCTTTCTTTCCTGACTCAAATATTTTATCCTTTGCAATAGCCCCATGGGTCTGTAAGCCTCAGTTGATACACACACACACACACACACACACACACACACACACAACCTGTCACCTTTCTGCTATGGATATTATGTAATATTTTTAATGATACTTCATAATTCTGTTCCCTCTATTCTACTATGGAGTCTATCCTTTGCACTGTTATTTTGGTTACTGTATTTTTTAGTTCAAAAGTTTCCCTCACATCAGATAGATAGATAGATAGATAGATAGATAGATAGATAGATAGATAGATAGATAGACAGACAGATAGACTGAACCTCTGTGCTTTTAAACTTCTTTTAAGTATTCTCATAATTGCTTGGATGAAGTTTTATGATAGCCACATTAAAATCTTAATAAGTGATGGCATCTATCAATTTTCTTTTCTAATTAAAGTTAATGAAGTTCTTGGTTCTAGCTATGAATGATTATCAACTGAAACTGGGACAGATAAGGTTTTATGTGGTGTGATTCTAGATCTAATTTAAATATTCTTTATTGGCTATCCTTCTGCCATGACTTCTGCAGGGGGAAGAAAGCAATGCCTCATTACTGCGAGGTGGGGTGGAAGTTCAGTTCCTGGCTTGATCTCCATGGAAAGCTAGGGAAGCAGGCCTTCCAGTTACTGCTGAATACACGGAAGATCTGGCTACTCATAAGCTTTCTGCTGACAGCAGCATGGTTGTCAGGGACAGAGAAACTTCATGATTGCTCTCAGCATGGCCTCCACTGAGATTTTAGAGTGCCAGAAAAGTTCCAAGCCTTCACTGGATCTCCTTGGATTCCACTCTAACAGAGACTTTAAAGACGGTAAAACCATAGAGTCAACTCTCATCAAGAGGCTGGGTGTTGTCACTTTTTAAAGGCAAGGAAGTGTTACTAGATTAAAAAGTGTAACATTAAAACAATTTATTCAAAGATCTAGGAACACTAAGTCCTAATGACTTGGAAACACTGCTTTTATAATTACTATTATTGTTATGAGGGAGGCCTAGTGAAAAGAAGCTGTGCCATAATCCCGAAAGCATTTGGTTCAAATCCCACCAATCGCTCCGCAGAGAAGGATGGGTAATCTTCTCCTGTTCAATTAACTGCCTCTGAAAATCCACCAGAGGATCAGCTATGGGTCGGTTCCGAATCAATGGTACAAAACATCAACATTATTACCATAATTCTTTACATTATATTTTTCAAAGTGAGTTCATATTGTTCCTAATAAATTAACTACCTTTGAAAACCTGCCAGAGGGTCAGCTATGAGTTGGTTCTGACTACAGTACACATGCACAACAACACTTGATGAAGAAGTAAAAGTCCGTAAACACAAAACTATTGCCTAGATAAAGGGTTCCAAATTTGTTCATCAAGATCTTTTCAATATTTTAAAATGTTTTGTAGGTCATCTCATACACTTTAAACTTTATTCTCTCAGATTCCTAAGTAGCTTACAAAACAACAATATCACTGAAATGACTCATATTTTCCACATACACCAGCACTGATCTCCAAAAACCTCAGTTTTTACTAATACAGTCTTTAAACTCCCTCCAATAAAAGACAAACCACAGTAACTGAAATGATACACTCACCAGCTCCACTGATTGTATCAGGCTTGGTCTTCATCGTTTTGCAAAACTGTCTTCGGCAGTTTTCTATCCATTCAGTTTGTTTATCAGGAATTTTTAAGTGTGACAGTAACTTGCTAAGATCATTATCTAATGAAGAAATAGAATGAATTATAAAAGACAAACAGATGCACTGAAAAATGTCTTCATATTAAACATGTTATAGCTACAAATTGAAGGAGACGACCATAAAGATACTAGAAATCACAATGATGCTAAGTATACCTAAAATATGACTTTTTTTTATTTCTAAGTATTTTCACTAATAGAAAACTGTTTTGTTGTTATAGAGCCTAGTGGCAAAGAGCTGTGCTGCAATCCTGAAGGCACGCAGCTCAAGGCCACCAAGGCCACCAATCACTCTGTGGGAGAAGGATTGACAATCTTTTGATTTACCGTCTCTGAAAATCAGCTATGGGTTGGTTCTGACTTGATGGTGCACAACAGCAACAACATATGCTGCTGAATGGAAAGTGACTCATAGGTAATGCTCCAGTAGGTTTTCAGAGGCTGAAAATTACATGGAATTAGACTGCCCATTTTTCTACTGTGGAATAGCCAGAAGATTTGAACCACTGGCTGCTGGGTTGGCAGCAAAATTCCTCACCACTAGGCCATTTAAGATGTAAACTGCTCTTCATATTGATTTTCTGTACATGTTGACTGGTCTCAAATACTTGATTGTTACTATTATGACTACACATCTAGTCTTTTAACCTAGTAAAACAATTCCATACATTATTAGGATATCTCTAGCAAGTCTACATGATGTTAACAGTACTTACACCTAAACACTGACTTTTCTTTTTTTCTGTAAAATTTCATCAATACAAGTAGCTTTCCTTTGATAATGTAAGGGTTGTTTTTTTTTTCTTTTTATTTGTTTTGTTTGTTAATTTATTATTAATTTCAATGAAAACTTATAGAAACTAGATTTCCATTCATTCATTGTTGAATAATATATTTTAAAGCCACTTATCACTATCACACTGTCATACTTCTAAGACGAGAAGTAGCATATGGTACTAGAAGTACCATAATACAAGGTTTTTCCATTTATTTTCCCATATTTATCTATCAATCATCCCTCTTCGAATAAAATATGTAAGGAGCTCTAAGAGAATTCGATGATGCTAATTCAGCAGAAGTTCCTTGGCAAGGAAGCAAAGAAAATGTAACTATACAGTGATTACATGTTGTTGTGTACCATCAAGTTGGACGTGACCGTATGATGAGTTTTCAGAGGCAGTTAATCGCACAGGAGGAGAATGCCTGTATTTCTCCCATAGAGCAACTGGTGGCCTCGAGCCATTTGCCTTCAGGATTACAGCATAGCTTCTTGTCACTATGTCACCAGAATTCCCTATGTGAGCATAACAAATATTTGTGCATTACTCTCTGATCTTACAGTCTCCTATATTTCCTAAAATTTCTACGCCTTTACTACTGTTATAATAAGAAAAAGAAAACAACAACAGAGTTTTGTCTCTGGCTATAATGAAGGAACTGGGATGAAACTATATTTATCAAATGTTTAAAATACAGGCTAATAGGTAATAAAAGATCATGAAGTCTGAGAAAAGGGAACCCAATGAAGTAAGCTTTATAATCATTCCTATAGACTGCAGCCTTCAGTATGGACTGAGGCTCAATGTCAAGAAGACAAAGATTCTCACCACTGGACCAATCGGTAGCATCAGGATGGATGGCGAAGAGATTGAGATTGTTCACAGCTTCAGTTTCCTTGGCTCCACAGTCAACACTCTTGGCACCAGCCGCCAGGAAATAAAAAAATGTATTGCAATGGGTAAGTCTGATGTTAGGGACTTCTACAAAGGACTGAAGAGCAGTGGTGTCTCTCTGGAGACTAAGGTCTGCCTGATACAGGCCATGGTTTTTGCAATCACTTGCTGTGCATCAGAGAGTTGGAGAATGACTAGGGAGGTTAGAAGAATTGACGCCTTTGAGCTATGGTGCTGGAGAAGAGTATTGAATGTACCAAGGACTGCCAAGAAAACAAACAGATTCATCCTAGAGAGGGTTGAACCGGGTTACTCCTTGGAGGCAAGGATTCTGGGGCTTCATCTGACATACTTTGGACATGTTGTAAGGAGAGACAGGTCTTTAGAGAGGAACATCATGCTGGGTAGAGTAGAGGGACAGCGCAGGAGGGGAAGAACCTCTATGAGGTGGATTGATTCAGTGACTGGGGTAATTGGGATGGGTGTGTCAGAGGCAATGCGAATGGCACAGGATAGAGCAGGGTTTAGTGCTGTTGTACACAGGGTCGCTATGAGTCGCAAATGACTCGACGGCACATAACAACAACAAAAACAACATACGCTTCTTAGAACCATATTCGAGATGCTAAGGACAGAATGGAAGCTTGCTCAATCATGGGGACAAAAATATGGCTATCAGAGTACTGGAGAAGACGACAAGGAATAGAGCTCTAGAAATGTGCACAAAGATTTGCTGAATATGGTACCAAATAATCGTAATGAGCTGCTCAGAAGTATAGAAAAACCCCAGAGTTGGGTACAGAATAGATGTGGTTGTCATGTTCCATTGAGTCACTTGCGACTCATAGCAACCCTATGTACAACAGCCCTAAACTCTGCTCTGTCCTGTGCCAATCACACTGTTTCTGATACACCCATCCCGATTACCCGAGTCACTGAATCAATCCACCTCAAAGAGTGCCTTTCCTTCCTGCGCTGTCCCTTCACCCTACAAATAATGATGTCCCTCTCCAAGGACTGGTTCCTCCTTACAACATGTCCAAAGTATGTTAGACGGAGCCTCAGAATCCTTGTCTCCAAGGAGCTTTCCGGTTTCACCCTCTCCAGGATGAATCTGTTTGTTTTCCTAGCAGTCCATGATACACTCAATACTCTTCTCCAGCACCACAGCTCAAAGGCATCAATTTTCCTTCTATCCTCCCTAGTCACTGCCCAACTCTCTGATGTATAACAAGTGACTGCAAAGACCATGGCCTGTATCAGACGCACCTTAGTCTCCAGAAAGACACCACAGCTCTTAGAACTAATGTGCAGGAAATGGAGTCAGAAAATCAAAAAGGCCAAACTCGCTCAGCATTTCTTAAGCTCAAGGAACTGAAGAACAAATACAAACCTCGAGTTGCTATAATCAAGGATGCATTTGGCAGAATATTAAATGATCCAGGAAGTATTAAAAGAAGATGGAAAGAATATACTGAGTTACTGTATCGAAAGGAATTGGCAGAAAAAGACGAATTTAATGAAACAACATATGAGCAAAAAAAGCCTATGGTGATGAAGGAAAAAGTTCAGGCTGCTTTGAAGGAAATAGCAAAAAATAAGGCCCCAGGAATAGATGGTATATCAATTGACAGAAGAGGTATGAAGTACAAATTAAAAAGTTTGCTATGGTGGCCTAATGGTAAGGAATCGTGCTGTCAGTCCAAAGACAGGTGGCTTAAATCTACCAACAGCTCCACCGGATAAAGATGAACAATCAACTTTCCTGTAATTACCTACCTTTGAAACCTCACTGAAGGGTCAACTATGAGTTAGTCCTGACTCGAGGGTACACAACAACATAAATGAAATATGTCCAGAGTTAACATAGGGCTAGGATATGTTATAATGAAAAAAAAATAGCGTATTGTGACTGAGCTATTTTACTCAGCATAATATCCTCCATACGCATGTTGTGTAATACTTTATGAGTTCCACCTTTTCAATGCTACATAGTATTCCATCGAAAGAATACACCATCATTTTCCTATCCCTTTCTTTATTGATGGGCACTTAGATTGCTTCCATCTCTTTGCTATTGCGAATAACGGATCAATAAACATGGGTGTGTGCACATCTATTTGGGTGGAAGCTCTGGTTTCTTTAAGTATATTACTAACAGTGGAATTGCTGGATCAAATGATATTTCTATTTTAACTTTCTGAGAAAGCACTGGACAGTCTTCAAATACTGTATAACACCACTCTTATAAAACAAGACTGACATGGGGCTTGAGGGGTAAATAAGAAAAGAGGGGATAAATAATAAACACTGCATTGGAACAGAGGAAGAAAAGAACTGTTTAAAAGGAACATATGATTAGGCATTATTGTATGACGACAGTCCAGAATAAGAAGTGCACAGCAAAGTAAACTGGCAGAGGGGTGAGGAGGAAATTATGTAACAATGAAGTAATATATTTGTTTTAAGCAAACTGGGAGGCTAGAAAGGAAAAATGTGCAATAATGAATGAATAAACATCCAACTTTTCTGTAAACTTTGGTAAAAATCACAATAAAAGAAACAGAAGAAGAAGGAGGGAAAAAAGAACACAAAACAAACACCAAAAAATGTAAAGAATCCTACTTGGCTACAAAGGTACTGATTTAGTAGAGGTGCTACAAAAATGACCTCACAGAAGGTTACACTAGACCTACAGTAAAGGCAAATCTATACCCACCCTGAAAAAGAAGGGGGAAAAAGGGTAACCTTTGAATGATTAATTTGATCCAATGTTATTAAATGCTTTGCCAAAAGCAGTGCAATCCTTGTCAAACAAGATAACAAAATCCAACTGCTGTTATGGGCCGCTGAGTAGCCTGTGACACACAGCCACCCTACGTACAGCAGCTCTGAATCCTTCCCTATCCTGAGCCAGTCTCAATAATTCTGACACACCAACCCTCATTGCCCCTATTACTGTATTAATCTCTTATCTGGGGTCTTCCTCTCCTGAACTGTCGCTCCAACAGTCTGAGCATGATGTCCTTCTCTGTGTGTCCAAAGTATGTGAGACAGAGCTTCAAAATCCTAGCCTCCAAGGAGAAAGTTGGTTTCACCCTCGATAAGACAGACTAATTTGTTTTCTTGGCAGTTCATGGTAGTTAAGTTCAAGACTTTTCTTCAGCATCACAACTCGAGGGCATCAATTCTTCTTCTGTCATCTTTAGTCACTGTCCAGTTCTCTGAAGCATAGTAAGTATTGTGAAGACCATGGCCTGGATTAGGCACACCTTAGTTTCCAGGATGATATCGTTGCTTTTCAGCACTCTCAAGAAGTCACTGACAGCAGATTTTCCCAATGCAATT